GAGTACGTCTAGCCGCCGCCATTAGCAAGCTCCGCCCCCCACAGAACAATCTTTCACCAGTTGGACTGTCCAACCATCATGGACTGTTTATAAGCACTGTTAATATTTGCGAAAGTGCACTTACCTTCTCCAAAAAGATGCGTTACAAGTTTAGAAAGTGTTTGCTTCAGCCGAAACTCCAAAAGTTTTACAGCTTCCAAAGTGTGGACTTCTTGCTTGTTAGGTGTTCGAATCCCTTGCTCAAACAACTGACAAGAATCCATATTTTCTACTTCCGAAAACAGCTAAACAAAAAAAAAAAGATATATTATCAGAAGAAGGTCTGATATAGCAACTAGTGCATAATAATTTTTGATAACTTTCTCTTTAATAAACGTTTTTACAACAAGAGACAAGGCACAACAATCAGCCCCGTTTGGTACTGATATATGTACATAGAAGGTCTCGTAATCCCATGGCAAAGGCAATGCACATTATTTCAACCAATAAAGTTAAACATAGTCCTTGACAGTGCAATATAATGTAATATATAATTATTTTTGCTAGTATCACCATCCTAAATAATGTACTGTTACTATTTATTGTACGAATAAGAAACATGTGGGTTTGCAGAGCCTATATACCATGTTTCCCCGAAAATAAGACACTGTCTTATATTTTTTGGGGCTCAAAAAAACACACTAGGTCTTATTTTCTTATTTTTTTTCTTTTTAATGTACAACAATCCACACTTATTCATGTAGAAAAGTCTACATGTATTCATGTACACAAATATGGTGATCAGGGCAATCAGGGGTGCCGAACCTTTCAAAGAGCAATTTGCTAACCAATCGCTGGCCAGAATGAGCGAAGCGCACTTTCACTGTTGCTTCCTGACAGGCGGAATGCATTTGGTATCACTCTGCCTGTGGCAGGAGCCGGCGCTATAGAGGAGGCATCGGCTTATGCGGCTCTGCTCCCTCTGGTGCCGCCTCGATTCCTCTAGCGCTGGCTTTGTTGGCACTAGACATGTTGGCACTAGACATTCGGACGAATTTTCGGAAATTCGGACATTCAGATGTATCCGAATTGCAGATATAACGAATGCAAACGAATCCGAATTTCGGTTTCTGAAATTCGTTAGTAGTTCGTTCGCATGTTCGTTTCTTATTCGGTTCGTTTGTTCGCTGCACAAAGTGACATTAGAGAAGGAGAAAAACATTTTTTCCCCCTCAAATGTCACTTTGCTGCAACTAACGAACGAATGAACGAAACAAAAAAGAAACAAAAATGAAACGAACGTTCGAACGACCTACCGCTAACAAATTTCGTCCGAATCCGTATTGACTTTCACACCCGAATCCCGAAAAACGAAATAACACAAAATCCGAATCAAAACTAAATGAAAAAAAACAAATTTTTTGTCAGTGCACATGTCTAGTTGGCACCACTGATTCTCTCCTGCCTCTCCCTCAACTCTTCAAGTTCCCCCTTATGCCACCACCGGCCCTGGGAATGGTCACAACTAGGTCTTATTTTCGGGGTAGGTCTTAAATTTTAGCAATTCCCAAAAAATAGTACTAGGTCTTTTTTTTCAGGGTAGGTCTTATTTTCGGGGAAACAGGGTATCTATCTATCTATATATAACTGAGGGATTTTGCTTAGCCCTGGAACCAGTGTATGGAAGGCTGGGGAGCATGATTGCCTGTCTGGTGAAAGAAAGGCACCTGGGGCAGCAGTAGGTTGCTCCCAGTTTGTTGGCTAGGGATCCTATATGTTAGTGAGACGCCAAGTGGTAAGGGTTTATGTTCATGATTTCTTTTTGTTTCTTTTTGTTTTCTGCTCCTGTACATAGTGTATACACTGAGTGGCCAGATTATTATGACCACCTGACGTTTGTAGGCAAATTAGATATAATTTTGCGCTGAAGTTGCTAGAGGGCCAGACCATTACTGCAATTGGTTATTGCAACAACCCATTCACTCATAAAACACAGAAATGCACTCTGAGGATGAGCTGATCAGCATAATAAATGGTACCGGATTAAACTCAAAACTTAATTCCTCAAACATTTTTGAGTTTAATCCGGTACTATTTATTATGCTGATCAGCTCATCCTCAGAGTGCATTTCTGAGTGCATTTCTGTGTTTTATGAGTGAATGGGTAATTCGGGTCCTGAAGATGGCGCACGCGGCACAGGTACTCGTTTTATGTATTGGAGTATTTGCACGAGTACGAGTACTCATGCAAATACTCTGTATCGCTGCCGATACCGATGCTTGTATCGGTGCATCCCTAATAAATAGGGGAGCAGATTGTTTACCACGACAGTAGAAGTGATTTTTTTCTGAAGATATGGGTAAACAACGCGATTTAACAGCCTTTGAACGTGGGATGATTGTTGGCGCTCTGAGCCATGGAGCGAGTATCAGCAAAACAGCAGAATTAGTTAAATGTTCAAGAGCAGCTGTTGTTAAAGTGTTTAAAGACTGGACAGTCAGCTGAAAATCTGGGTCTGAACGTGCGAATTGTGGCCGTCATCGACTAGTCAATGTTAGGGCAGAACGGAGAGTGGCAAACTGGTACAAGACAACAGAAGGGCAACAGTGCAGTGTCAGATTCCTCGCATCACCATTCAAGTCATCTCGTGGAGTCATCTCGTGGCCCAACGTAGTACTGATGGGGTGGTCATAATAATCTGGCCACTCAGTGTATAGTCTGTGTATATTAACTACACATATGCTTCATCAAGGACTGTTTGTTGTGCTTGTTTAAAGTGTTGTGAACTCCTCTCTCATCATTCAACTCATTTATTTTACATAGAACATAGCGCAGTCCTGCAATGCGTTATAAAGTTTCATTGTGGGAAGGGATTGCTCAGACTACCTACTACCTATTCATTGTTTCTTTGTAGCATGAAGGTGATCCTAGCAGGGAGCATCTGTTAGCAGGGTAAGCAATGGGCCCTGGGGAGGAATGTGTGTGTGCGCACGCACACACGCACACATATATAAAGTATATTGAACACAGGGCTTAATGACTGATAACTGCTGAATAGATTCTATCACATGTTTCTCATTTGTATGTATGAGTGGTTTAAATTAGAACACATTCTGTTGCACTAATTTAAACAGAACAGCTAAATGATTTATTCAAACCCTTTCCTGTAAATGCAGTAAATTATGCTTTAACCTGGACATAAAACCACAGTGGCCTTTTCTTTACTACTATTTAATGTAAAGTTAAAGCTGCTAATGATAAAGGCCGACCCAATTTAAGATGTTCATGTATTATACGATGTTCATGTATTACATGATATATTTTATAATAAAACTATGGTAAGGCAAGGGTGATTTTACCACGTGATCTCTGTTGATGGATAGGATCTGAGAGGAGACTGATCTGGTCCTACCCTTTTTCACCTGGCCAACACTGAAGAGGTGACTACAACAGCATTTTCTCCAGAAACCTAAACCATTGTATTACTCTCTAATACTTTATTCACCTCAGAAACACTGTTAAGAAAGCATGAAGTTGACATTTGAATATAGGTCCAACTATAAAAATTTGCTGGTTTACCTATAAGCTTAGTAATCTCTCAATGCCAAAAAAAAAAGATTTCTGTACAGGAATGTGTGACTCAAGCCTCTCCCACATGGCCAAGCATCTCCCACATGGCCAAGCATTCACAAGTTCTTGTGTAGAGGTTTTTCAATAATTTGGAAAATTGATGAAATACATAAAAAGACCCCCCGAAAACGTAGCAATCTTTATATCAAATGTTAAGCTAAATTACACTTTGCCCCCTAAAAGGTTATGTGGGGTGAGAATCATGGGTCAGAATTCTGGCCAACATAGGCCATGGCCTTGGAAAGCAAGGCTATTAGGGATGACATGGAGCCACCCAAACATCCTTTTACTAACACCTGTACAGCGTACAGAAGACAGAGTTCTGTACAGGTTAAAAAGTGCCTCCCATTGGCATTCAGCATGGTTCTCATTATTATTATCCTTACAGTTTGATCTTTTTTTTGTTGGTAGTAAAGAGTACTGTGTACTATCAGTTCATCCACTATGAATCCACACACCTGGAACCAAACTCCAAGCAAGTTAAGGAGAGAGTTTTCCTAATCTTCTAGGCATGGGTTCTAGGTGTACTACACACAGCAGGTAAACTGTGTCTTGTGTCCTCTCTGACCCATCTCAGCATTGCTTGTGTGGCTATGACATCTGATCTCGTTAGTGTGATTCTAAAGCTAGCCATGCACTGTGCGAATTTTGGCCAGTTCTTGATAAGCTGGCTGAAATTCGCACAGTGCGTGCCCCCGTCGGCACCCTTCTTCTCCAGCATCCTTTCATCAGAAAAAAAAAAACAGATGGAAAATCTTTAGGTGAACAGTGAGGGCAGCCAATCCGCTGCCATTACTGTTTGGGTATTCGGACCATGGCACACCCACCGCTATCAGAATACAAAGGGCACAGTAGGAGATTTGTATAATCAGCATGGATAGAGGAAGCTGTTTAGTTTATTTTTTTCGACCGCAAGGCTGAATGAAAAAATATAAGTGTATGCTTAAGGATAGCCATTCAGCAGAGATAGAGGCGGGGGTTTGTGACATGTGACATAGGTGAGCTGGCTTTGGGGTGTAGGAAGTATAAATGCAGCCCTGGTGATGATCGCAACTACAATGGTCAACTCTAATCTTCTGTTGCTACTCATGGCAGATCCGATCTATGTGCAAATAGTAACACCACTATCCATTGATTTAAAAAATCATCTTTTTTAAATCAACAGATACGATGATTTCAAAAAGAGACTTGGGATAGTGATAATTAACTTGCAGAATATTTTGGTTTTGCTTTATTCTTTCCTCCCTGCTGTGCTAAGCAAATATAATTACTACGTAAAAATCTTACACTGTGTTCTAGCAAAGATATTAGGCATTCACATCTTTTGAAATATGATAGAAAAATACACTTAGGTTATGTAGAAGAGACATTGCTGCAAAAGTGAAGATTATTGAACTTGACAAGCAGTGGGATTTTCTCATCCGCTACACCACAAACCAAAAAAACATCCTAATCATTCGAAAAGCTATTGTTTACAGGAAGGATATAAGTGACACCACAAGCCTATTGATTTTAGCATGAACAACCATTTACATGTTGAAAAACCATAATATAAAAAAAACACATGAAAATATTAAAACAGTTAAAATGAAAATGTAGCAATTTTTTTTATTGTCCTGGGAAATTATCCCAGGACTACGGGGGTCTGACCGACATCTACATTCAAAAGGGGTC